TACTGCCGTCACCCTGTCATAGAACTCCAGTAGGTTTGTGACACAGGATTTCCCGTTCCTGAAACTGTGCTGGCTGTCGTTGACAAGCTCATTCCTTTCTAGGTGCTCCACCACTCTTCTCCAGATAATTTTCTCCATGACCTTGCATACTGTACACGTCAGTGACACTGGTCCGTAGTTTAATGCTTAGTGTGTCTCCTTTTTTAAAAATTGGGACTACATTTGCTGTCTTCCATATGTCTAGTAGTCGCCCTGTTTCTATGGATGTGTTGAAGATAGTTGTTAGTGGTACACAGAGCACCTCTGCTCCCTCTCTCAGGACCCATGGAGAGATGTTATTCGGCCCCTTCTCCTCTGAGGTATCTAGCTCACTTAGGGCCTCCTCACTTCTTCCTCAGTTGTATGTACTTTGTCCAACACTTGATGGTGTACACCACCTCTCCACATTTCTGGAGGCCCTTCTGTCTCCTCTGTGAACACTTCTTTGAATCTCACGTTGAGCTTCTGACATACTTCGCAGTCATTTTTTGTGACCTATCTTCCTTCCTTCCTTCCTCAGCCTGATTACCTGGTCCTTGACTGTTGTTTTCCTCCTGATGTGGGTGTAAAACAGCTTTTTGGGTCAGATTTGACTTTTGCTGCTATATCATTCTTATACTGTCTTTGGGCCTCCTTTCTTACCTGTGCATATTCATTTCCGGCTCTACAACTGCTCTCCTTATTGTCCTGGGTCCTTTGCCTTCTATACCTCTTCCATTCCCTGGCACACTGGTTTTGGCCTTCCTAAACCTTTGGGTGAACCAAGGGCTCATCCTGGATTTCTCGTTATTCCTGTTAGCCTTGGGTACAAGCCTCTCCTCAGCTTCCTTGCATGTTGTCATATTCCACCATCTCGTTCACTGACTTCCCTGCCAGTTCTCTGTCCCACCGAACCCCATTCAGGAAGTTCTTCATGCCTGCGTAGTCCCTTTCTTGTAGTTTAGCTTCATTTGTCCAGCCCTTCCTCCTTCCCCCTCCACTTGTAACTATGTATTCGAAGCTCAGAACCACATGATCAATGGCCTCAAGGGATCTTTCATATGTGATGTCCTCAATATCTGCACTACTCAAGGTGAATACTAGGTCGTCTCACTGGTTCATCCTTTCCTCTCTCTCTGGAAGTGTCCTTTACATGTTGGTACACAAGGTTTTCCAGTGTGTGCACTCACCTATTTGTGGTTGCTGGGGTCGAGTCATAGCTCCTGGCTCCACCTCTTCACTGACTGCTACTACGTCCTCTCTCTCTCTCCCTGCTCCATGAGCTTTATCAAACCTCATCTTAAAACTATGTATGGTTCCTGCCTCCGCTACATCACTTTTTAGGCTATTCCACTTCCTGACAACTATGACTGAAGAAATACTTCCTAACATCCCTTTGACTCATCTGAGGCTTCAACTTCCAATTGTGACCTCTTGTTTCTGTGTCCCCTCCCTGGAACATCCTGTCTTTGTCCACCTTGTCTATTCCACGCAGTATTTTATATGTCGTTATCGTGTCTCCCCTGACCCTCCTGTCCTCCAGTGTCATCAGGCCGATTTCCCTTAACCTTTCTTCATAGGACATTCCCCTTAGCTCTGGAACTAACCTTGTCACAAACCTTTGCACTTTCTTTAATTTCTTGATGTGCTTGATCAAGTGCGGGTTCCAAACAGGTGCTGCATACTCCAGTGTGGGTCTGACGTACACGGTGTACAGTGTCTTGAAAGATTCCTTGCTAAGGTATCGGAATGCTGTTCTCAGGTTTGCCAGGAGCCCATATGCTGCAGCAGTTATCTGGTTTATGTGTGCTTCCGGAGATATGCTCGGTGTTATACTCACCCCAACATCTTTCTCCTTGAGCGAGGTTTGCAGTCTTTGGCCACCTAGCCTATACTTCGTCTGGGGTCTTCTGTGCCCTTTCCCTATCTTCATGACTTAGCATTTGGTGGGGTTAAATTCAAAAGCCATTTTTCTGGACCCCGGTTGTAGCCTGTCCAGATCTTTTGGCCCGCCTGTCCTCCCCGATTATTCTCCCCTTAAAATTCACAACTCTGCAACAAGGGGCACTTGAGTCCTAAACCCTTCCCTTTATGGCTTCACTATCCAAAAAGCACTTTCCCAGAGACCCCGTGGACCCGCTTGTCACAGGGCCCACTTGGGGAAACCTCTCCCGGGCCCCTGACCTTGTTTACTGAAGAAATACTTCCTAACATCCCTGTGGTTCATTTGAGTCTTCAGCTTCCAACTGTGACCCCTCGTTGCTGTGTCCCATCTCTGGAACATCCTGTCTGTCCACCTTGTCTATACCTCTCAGTATTTTATATGCTGTCATCATATCCCCCCTAACTCTGTCTTCCAGTGTCGTCAGGTCGATTTCCCTTAACCTCTCCTCGTAGGACATACCCCTTAGCTCCGGGACTAGTCTTGTTGCAAACCTTTGCACCTTCTCTAGTTTCCTTACATGCTTGGCTAGGTGAGGATTCCAAACTGGCGCTGCATATTCCAATATGGGCTAACGTACACAGTATACAGAGTCCTGAATAACTACTTATTTAGATGTGGGAATGCCATTCTTAGGTTTGCCAGGCGCCCGTATGCTGCAACAGTTATTTGGCTGATTTGTGCCTCATGAGATGTTCCCAGTGTTATACTCACACCAAGATCCTTTTCCTTGAGTGAGGTTTGTAGGCTCTGACTCCCTAGACTGTACGTCTGTGGTCTTCTTTGCCCTTCCCCAATCTTCATGACTTTGCACTTGGTGGGGGTTGAACCCCAGGAGCCAGTTTCTGGACCAGGCCTGCAGTCTGTCCAGATCCCTCTGTAGTTCTTCCTGGTCTTCGTCTGAATTCTTATCAACTTCACAGCATCTGCAGACAGGGACACTTCAGAGTCTATTCCTTCCGTCATGTCGTTCACAAATACCAGAAACAGCACTGGTCCTAGGGCTGATCCCTGTGGCACCCTGCTCGTTACCGGCGCCCACTCAGACACCTCGCCACATACCATGACTCGCTGTTTCTTCCTGACAGGTATTCCCTGATCCATTGCAGTGCCTTCCCTGTTATCCCTGCTTGGTCCTCCAGCTTCCGCACCAATCTCGTGTGGAACCGTGTCAAACGCCGTCTTACAGTCCAAGAAAATGCAATCTACCCACCCCTCTCTCTCTCATGTCTTACTGCCGTCACCCTGTCATAGAACTCCAGTAGGTTTGTGACGCAGAATTTCCTATCCCTGAAACCGTGCTGACCGTCACTGATAAGCTCATTCCTTTCTAGGTGCTCCACCACTCTTCTCATAATTTTCTCGATGACCTTCCATACTATACACATCAGTGACACTGGTCTGTAGCTCAATGCTTCGTATCTGTCTTCTTTTTTAAAAATTGGGACTACATTTGCTGTCTTCCACACTGCTGGTAGTCGTCCTGTTTCGATATATGTGTTGAAGATAGTTGTTAATGGTACACAAAGCGCCTCTGCTCAGTCTCTCATTACCCATGGAGAGATGTTATCCGGCCCTATTGCCTTCGTGTGCGTGTGTGTGTGTGCGTGTGCGCGTGTGCGCGTGTGTGCGTGTGCGTGTGCGTGTGTGTGTGTGTGTGTGTGTGTGTGTGTGTGTGTGTGTGTTGGGGGTGCGCATGCAACCATGCTCCTGGTGTTATAAACAAATATAAATACAGTATTTTGTGCACTTGAAAAAAATAAAATAAAAAAAGATAATATAAATCATGCTGAAAAAAGCCTGGTGAAAGTGTAACACTAACAATGATCTGTAATTAGCTTCGTTATACATTTTTTTTTATCCTGCCATGACAGTGAATTTGGATTACAATTTATAATGGGTTAAACCATATATAAAAAATGAAGACATGAAAAGCTGCAGAAAACTAGTTTTGCAATTCTTTCATACCTTCTTAAAACCTATTTAAACATTAATAATTAGCTATCTGCTTTAATTTCCTCTTCTCTATTTCATTCTTAATTGTACTGTACAGTAATTAGCAGGCAAGACACTTATACACTGATCAAGACACTAGGGAAACTTTTTGCCACCAGTGGCGGCTTCTTGTGGCGAAATGTTTCCTTAATAAAGGTCTTCATCAAAGCATTTAAATCTTATAATTACAATTTGTGTCACCCAACTAGTTCCACCTGTACAATAATTTAGGTATAATCCACGCTGAATTCTCAATGTTTTCTTCACACTTAACGCTGTTTGGCCTTAGACTTTCATGACCAGAAGACTAGCGGGGGTTAAGTATATAAAGTGTCCTTTTCTATTTTTTTTTTTTTTACAGAAAATGCTCACCCCTTATATGAATTATATTTCCACATCAACATTACTCTTTCAAGGATTAGTTTTTTTTATATTTTTATTAAATAAAGCTCAATTCTCTCGTTTACTGAATCCCCCCCCCCTATGTAAAAGGTTCCTCCTTGGCCTTTATAATCAAAAAGTAAGAACATTCCCCAGGGTCTATCCCTTCACGGAGAACTTACTAGAATCACAATGTATATAATTACATATACTATACCGCAAAATTGGAAATTTGTTCTTACTTCCATTATGGTATATCAAAGGTATATAAAGGTATGAAGCCTTTCAACAATGTTGTTGGTTATGTAATATTTAAATTCTGCGTAATTTTCATGGTTCATCTTAAATATTCTGGTCCTGTTTTAAATAACTCCCATCCTCCCCCTCTAAAGATATTTTTCAGTGTAGAATTACATCTGATGGACAAACAACACAAATTCAAGCATAATATTTATGAAAACGATCCATAAAAAATCCCAAATTTTAATGTTTAAAGAAACCTCAAACAGTTGCCCCTTTAAACAAAAGTACTATGTCCACACTAAGACGAAAAGGAAAATGCAAAAGAAAAGCACCAAAGCTTGTCAAAGAAAAGTATAATTAAAATTCACTAGGCTTTTAACACATTTAATTGTAAGCAACCATCATTCTAAACGCATTTTACCTGGAGATTTCAGAGGCGAGGTGATTGATGGCCGCTTCACTGGTGTCACAGATGATCGTCTCCTTGATGGACTTTCTGGTCTCTCCCCACGTAATAATGCATCATAGGCATTACCAAGTTCATTTAGTTTATCAACTGTGGGGCCATACTCACGATACTCTCTAAAGAGTGGCTGCACCATCAAAATATTAATACATACTAATACGAATCAGTTAAAAAATTATTATGTATACATATGTTGCCAAGCTATAATTAAGAGATTTATAATGAGAAAAATTTTAAACTTTTTTTTACCTTGAGGTCTTCAACTTGCTTTCTGATAATTTCTTGTTCTAGGCCAACAGGTTGAGCACTATCCAGGGTATTTTCTGTGGTGGTGATCCACTGAGTGCAGCGATCCCGTAGTTGCTCATACGCAAGTAGCTGTTCAGAGCGCTCCTTGCCATTACGTGCTCGTTCATCTAGTGTGTCACCGAGTTCCTTCCATTGCCCCTCTAAATTCTGTGAACACATCTCTCCATTACAATTCAAATTTTAAAAACAAATCAAGTACAGAAAAATGTTTGCCAATAATACCAACGGTTAATGTAGAAAGTTACTGGAAAGTTAACCTTTATTTTATCTTTCACAGGTGCAGTATCTGTGACATCCTTCTTTGAAACCAGATCCCTGCCGGTTTTAATCATGCCATCAAAGTCACCTGAACGTGCATCGCGCTGCACAGCAATTTCTTCAATCTTCTGGGCATAGCTGATAGAGGAAATGAAAATTAAACTAGTTTTAAAATGCATAATGCATGTTAAATTATATTAATCTATCTGATATAAGTACAGTATTGTACTACATATATTAAATTTAATAATTCTTTCTTATTCACCTTTCAACGTCTAGAGATAGTACCTCCCTAGATTCAACAATTTCCACGATTTCAATGTACCATTCCTCAAAATGTTCTACTGAGACGACAAATGCATCCAGTTGAGTTGAAACTATTTCTAGATGATGTCCTCGAGATTCTGACTTTTCCACTACTTTCTCGAACCTGTAAGATATTGAATACAGTACAATTACCATTAAACCAGAAAAACATTCCCCAACTCATTAAAATTGACAATTCTTACCTTATTTGAAACATTATACACACACACACAATACACTAACAAAACAAACATGAATATACTGGTACAATATATCAAAGATTAAGAATCTCCTCCAGCTCATCTAAAGTCGGACGCGAGCCAAGTATGCAGCAAGCAGTTATCCTCTGGATGGCCACGCTGAGGCGCTGAAACACAAAAGTGGCCGCCCTCTGGTCCCTGGTGGTGTAGATGAATCTGGGACCCAGTTCTTTAAGTAAACGTGTACCGTTTCTTTTTTCCCCCCATGATCCCAAGGTCTCTGATCCCACTGGAACAAATTGATACTGTTGGCTTATGTCTGTATTTGCCGATCTTGTACTCCTCTATGATCAGCAGTTTCTCCCTGTCTGAAGGGTAAATATATCAATTAATATGTACAGTCGCCACCTCCACCAACTACGTAGGTAGGTGTGTAGGCGTGCGCGCGCGCGCGTGTGTGTGTGTGTGTGTGTGTGTGTGTGTGTGTGTGTGTGTGTGTGTGTGTGTGTGTGTGTGTGTGTGTTTTAAGGGCTTGGTACTGCTTATTTTGACCTATGGAACTTTGGCAAACAAGTTCCCACAATACGTGCATTATACTATGTGGAGCATGTGACAATAAGTACAGTATGTGATAAACTGCTAAAGGGAAGAAAGCAAGAAGGATGACCCCAACAACGCTTGTATCATCACAGGGATAAATATGAACACTTAATGAAGTTTAATCAAGCACGACTAGTCAAGTCATCCATGAAAATGATGGACGAGCGGAAGCTGCTGGAGCCAACAATCCCACAAAGTCTGGGAGCCTCAGTTTCCACACTTAGCTAACAGATCATTCATGGCAAGATCTGTCGTAGGCGAACGAACACTGAACCTGGAAAAGCTATGCAGCAGGCATACCAACCCATGCTAGGTAGGTCCTGCTCAAATCTAATCTCATATTTTTCCAACCTAACACATGCCTCACCTCACCCTTGCTACTGGTCACCCGCGCAGTCCACTATATAATACCGTTTCAGCTTGCTCTGTATTAGGATGAAGCCACTCGTGGTAAAAAAAAAAAAATATCCTTTAATATCCTGAACTGCACGCAACTTTCCACAAAAGATGCTCTTACCTCTGCAGAGTCCGCACTCCTCACACCCATACCTCGCCAACCCCTTACCGATAACCCTAAAGTTGTCCTCATCCTATACACATGAAACAAACTTCTTGCCGTCAAACTACTCCACTCTTACTCGCAATCATTTCCTTCACTTATCCCCAAGCCCCCAACCTCTCCACTGCCATACCCTACAACCTATCCATAGTCATGACCCCCACAGACCCCAACTCCCTTCCTTACAGAAACACTCACACGCAATCAACCCTAATAGTGGAAGTTTAATTTTAAAAACATGAAGTAAAACAATGTCAGAGGATCTCGCATTCAAAGAGCACAACATGTTATTGCAACTGAAAGGAAATGAAAGTCTGGATAACTATAACTTTCAAGGTAAGATGACAAGCCAATGATTATACTCTTCAGGCCACTTGTCCTCTCAACTAGAATATTATTAGTATATACTAAAGGCCCCCTTCAAGGCGAAATTGCAGAAATGGAGAATGTAGAGAACCTTTACAGCTCAACCTCAGTCAATAACCTAAATTACTTGAAACGCTTAGTCCATCAAACTATTCTCCTTAGAACTCGGGTGAAAAAGATGCATCATAATCTACACCTGGAAGACTCTGGAGGGACTGGTCCCAAACTTGCGCATTAAAATCACTCCAAGTCAAAATTAGAAGCTTGGTAGATGGTGAAAGATACCTTCAATGAAATGCAGGAGAACGATGAGTGCAGAGAGAGAACTAAGTGTAAGGGGACAACGACAATACCCAGTATGTAGAGGGGAAATTGCTGAACAAACTCCAGCTGTGTTCAAGAGGGTACTCGATAAGTTTCTTAAGTTACTTTCTGATCAACTGGTATATGGTGCATACACTGGACTGCGGGCGGTAGGCACCAATAGCCTTATCGATCAGGCCAACGAGCAGGCCTGATCGATAATAAATGCATTTTCCCAATAGATAACTGAAGAAAGGTGCGGATAATAAAGAAATCGTTGGGAACAAAGATCACAGAAGTGTTATACTCCCATCCATCTTCCTCAATCACGAAACCTGAGAATGAGGACGAAATACAAGGAAAACGGGAGATCAATAATAAGAATGTTAGGTAAGACACACATGCAACAGTTAGGCAACTTTATTCGGAATAAAGTTGCCTAACTGTTGCATACGTGTCTTACCTAACAACCTGTCGGTATTGTATACCATTTTGATGTTCAATAATAAGAATCTTCGAGACAGTGGCAGAGGAGAGCAAGCACGCAAATTTACTGATATTGGGGATTTTAATCACAAGATAACTGGACAAACTGGGATCCCGTAGAGGTGGCCAGAGAGACTTTAGCTCACAGAAGCAATAATGAGCAAACCAGAGAAAATAGCAAAAATACATATCTATCAAACATTGTCATCTGAGCCCTTGGTAATAATTTCACTTTAAACAGATAGTCGAATTCGTTTTAATAAAAGGCAGCGGTAATTTGCTAATAAAATATTGTAAAATAACAGATTCCAAAAAAAAATGAACTTTCATCCAAATTGGAAAACACCATCTCTGTACATGAACATATTACCATTTTTTTTCTTTGCACCGTTGAAGTTATACGTAAGAACTCATTTCAAAGCATCCTCCCCATCCCCTATCCGAGGTACACTAACATTTCCTTCTCCCTTCCCATCCCCACTCGGATAAGACTAACACGTTAGCACCAAGTGCCAGACCAACCAGGCAAGAGCCTAATTAAACAGACAAGTAACAGAGAAGCACGGTCCCAGGCTGAAATGAAAGGGTAGAAAAACTAGAAAACGGTCCCAGTATAACGCCTATTTACTTCTAGAATCTAGATGCTATTCTCTCAACTAAGCCAAGACAACCGAGAGCCTTCGGTTATCATTAAGCTAGAAGGGCTGCAAGCCACCATATAATTATGCTGGTTAATATTTGACGAAAATGCCTAAATATTTCGTGATCAATTCCATGGGTAAGCGCTACAACCGTTGAGATCATACAGCACCTGGGAAATGGCAAGAAATGAAGTTCGATCCAAGGATGAAGGACAGGTCCTATTCCTTGGCTCAAGAGTCCCTCAACGTCGTCACACCTCCCTTGAGTGGAGTGAACAATTTTAAAGAGTGAAATCTTTGCACATTGACAACTAACAAGCGTCGACATCCATCACTGCTTCCCCTTCAACGAACTGAAATCTAGTTTGTATTAAATGCTAGAGAACTTCTATATCCATTTATAAAAGGTTGAAATAGTTTCAGCAAAAACTACAAAATTATAAAAAACAGTTCATCGCAGAAAATTGCCCCTTTATGAAACAGTTACGTACTATTTACCACTCTCATTTTCTATTTTTGTAAAAGTACTTACTTTGTTCACGTATACATGCGAGGCTGCTACATAGGGCAACAACAGCTGCCTACACCTGCACTCGCCAGTTTATCTGGTGTTAAGCACCCACCAACTTCATGAATAATCATTAATCCACATTCTATACTTTTCTTTTTTTTACAAAGCACCTAGCTCAAAATAAGGTAGATGGTGTTGGCGGCGGTGGACATGAGGCTGGGATTAAACCTAACTCAGTAATACAAGCTTTCCAAATTATTGATGTAACGCAGCTAATTTCTCAACTGATTTAAAAAGTTGTTAACATGCTAGACATTCCGGAATCCATGGTAAATCAGCCTGATGTCAGCAGAGGATAACCTACCCTACATGTTAATGAAGATGAGTGTATGACAATTTTAGGAAAGGTCAAACATCAGTTCTCATGAGAAGAGTTATCTACTGTCATCCGGACGCCCACGCTCAACTGACCTGGCCATATTCTGAAAGGTCAGGGGGCGTACCCAAGATGCTGATTGGTTAAACCTGGAGAAGAACGCACCCAGTAACCTTGTACGCCTCTTGCCCACTCACTTTTATTCAAAGGTCTGGTAGTGTATGTTTTTTACCGGCATTTTATAAATACTTTACTGTCAACACTGAGTATCAATAACTAATTCCGACCGGTAACAAAGTTATGCTTTGTAATATAAGGCAAATCTGAGGAAAATTATGTGAGAGTTCCTTAAAAGTCAATGTATTAGTTTCCGTGATACAGGAAGAATAACCACCACCCTAACGATACCCAGCCTCACGGATTAAAAAAAAAAAAAAAAAAAAAAAAAAGTCTTAACTCTACGGGAATTCCGCGCCAAGTATAATAGTGATCGTCTTACCTTTACCCAATATATCTTCGAGTCTCTACTCTTGGAGCCCGGCTATGGGTCAGGCTCGTCTAGTGCTTGCCTGGTCAACCAGGCTGTTGCTGTTGGAGGCCCGCTGCCCCACATATCCATCACAGCCTGGTTGATCCGGCACTTGAAGATACCTGTCCAGTCTCCTCTTGAAGGCTTCTACACTGGTACCAGCCGTATTTCTGATATCTTCTGTCAAGATCTTGAAAAGTCTGGGGCCACGAATGTTGACAGTGTTCCCTTATTGTGCCCACAACGCCCCTGTTCCTCACTGGGTTTAATTTGCATTTCCTCCCATATCTCCCACTCCAGTATGTTATAGCAGTGTGCAGATTTGGGACCAGGCCTTCGAGTACTTTCCAGGTATGTATTATCATGTATCTCTCCTCCGCTCCAGTGAGTACATGTTCAAGGCTTATATCTGACTATTCAGCTATGCCTCATCACACTCAAATATATGCTGTAACATATGTATACTGGCACATTCATGCGCAAGAATACATACGTATAGGAAAATATGTATATATTGTACAAGTATAAGTATACATCCGTTCAAACACACGAA